TTTTGCATCTTTCTGGCTGATCATGATTGGCTATTACTCCAAACACTCTCCAGCTTGGACCATCATGGTACTTTTGAATCTGATAAGTGTGTGGGAAGAGGAGTCCGCAGTTGCAGCTGTAAGTGACCAATAGGAATTGGGACACGTATAAGCAAATTTTGTGACGTTTGTGTGAAAAGTGCTATGAACTGAACACAGTGCAGTTTATAATGAAGATATCAGAACTGAGACAGTCATACAATAAGGTAAGGGAGGCAAACCGTCACTCCAGTGCTGCACCCAAGACCTGCAGATTTTATGAGAAGATGGATGCTATCTTGTGGGGAGACTCCACCTCCACCACCAAGAACCCCTTTGGACAGCACAGAGTCAGCAGAAAGAGGACCTAACCAAGAGGATGAAGTAATAGATGAAGAGATAGTGCTGAAGAAGGATGTGGGGCTCCCAGAGGATTTGCCTGGAGGGGCAGGCAGCCAGGAACTATTCTCCTCCAGAGGGAACTAGCCAGTCTCAGCAGCTGCTCCACAATGAGCTGGAAGCAGGAGTTTAGATACAGCGTAAGTGGCTTTGGATTGGGAGTGCAGAGGTGTGTGTAGTGCACAGAAAAGAGGGAGGTGAGCTGTGCATAGCCCTGTGTAGCTGGTCATTATGTCCCAGCAGGGTGTTGATGCACATCAAGATCTCAACAGAATCCTGTAGAGAGATGCTTTGGAAACTTTGCCTGAGGTACCTGGTAATTTTATCTCGCAGGTTCCATGGCAGTGCAATCGTATTTCTTCCGCCCTTGTAGGAAACTCTCCCATACCATTCTGCAATCTGTGGTGCAGGGACCAACGTAGCACATATGTGGGTTTCATATGGAGCAGGGTGAAAGCCACTAGCATCCAGAAGTTGAGCCCTAGTTTTCCTCCTTACTCTCAGCAGTGACATGGTGAGATGTCTGCGACAGTGATACCCACTTGTGGAAAAGTGTGGCATAATTAGAATGATTTCCCTGCAAAACTGCTCTATAAGCCAAAGCTGTATTTTATTTTGTCCTATGCCCATCCCACATCTCCCCTTACTTCCCTTTCTCCCGTACTTACCATGTTTACAGTGCCTGCAGAGATGTGTGCGCTTTGCAAGGATCAATGGGAAAGTGCAAGCTTGTTTTGCAAAAGGTGCTTGTAAGTGACATGTTTCAATGTTGAGCTGGAATTTAACAATTCCTCTTTTGTTACATTCTGTGTTACAGATGAGACATTGAGGACACTGCATTAGATAAGGAAGAGGCCCAAATGTAATAGGGGGAATTTACTGAAATAAGTCATAAAGCACTCCTGAGTGAAGGCCAAGAAAAGGGAGGAGCGATGGATAACAGAAAGGCAGGATAGGAAAGACACACTGATTGCATGATCAAGGTAATGGAGGAGTAAAACGAGATGCTCAAGTATTTAATCAAGTTGCAGAGTGAGCAGATGCTGTCTCCATCTCCCTTGGAACACGTACACAATTCTTTGTCCAGCAACCGTCCCTCCCCCCACATCCACATATTCCTTTTCACTCTCTGGAAAATTTTAGCTTCCCCCACACTCCATCTTCCCCCGCACATCCTCTCACAACTTGGACCATGACAGCTGGACCTATACACAGTTGTGGGGACTTATCTTTTCCAAGTCTCTTCCTTACTAGCAAATATGGTTTGGTGTGTTTCACTGTAATTTGTCTTGATCAATAAAGGCAATTTTTTAAATAGTACAATGATTTTATTTTTTGTTCCACAACCCATAACTCAGACTCATAGACTGTAAGGTGAGAAGGGACCATTATGATCATCTAGTCTGACCCCCTGCACAGTGCAGGCCACAGAATCTCACCCACCCCCTCCTAGAATAATCCTCACCTATAGCTCAGATATTGAAGCCTTCAAATACTTTGAAGACCCCAAGATGCAGAGAATTCTCCAGCTGTGATCTGTATCCCATGCTACAGAGGAAGGCGAAAAACCTCCAGGGCCTCTGCCAATCTATCCTGGAGGAAAATTCCTTCCCGACCCCAAATATGGTGATCAGCTAAACCCTGAGCATGTGGGCAAGACTCACCAGCCAGACACCCAGAAAGTTCTCTATAGTAACTCCTATCATCCCTCCATTGACCTATTTCCCACTGATAATGAATGGTCAATTAGTTACCAAGATCATGTTATCTCATCAAACCATCCCCTTCATAAACCCATCTAGTTTAATCTTGAAGCCAGATAGATCTTTTGCCCCCACTAC